GTCTCTTCCTGGTTTTATTTTCGCTGGCTATTCTGCCAGGGCGGGTGTGCAACAATCCTGGAACACTAGCGGAGCACTTTGAGTTTTGCACAGACGTGTACGTTGGTTCTGGTTGTGTCGAAATAACAACCCTTGCTACACAACCCTCCGACTTGCATTGCTTGGTTTTTAAAAGCTGTTGGGTGGGTGGCTGTTGGGATGGCAGGCTCCGGGGAAGCTGGGGGAGGGGTGTTTTCTTTAAGTCCCTAATCTTGCCAGGAGAGCGTCTAAAGAGGAAAGTGTTCTCCGGGCCCCTCCCTCCGTCAGTCCCCGGGGCGAGGGCAGGACGGGCAGCATTCATGTGTTTTGCGCTCCTGCCTCGGCACAGAGCGTGGGTTGAAATGGCCCCGGCGTGGAGTACACCTGCCCAGCCTGCTGCTATGCACACCTGCAGAAGCCTGAAAAGCCGCACGGACTGCAGGTGTGGCTGTCCTGGCTTGTTGGGGGCAGGGCCTGCAGAGCCAGCTAGTTCTGCTTGAGAAACATGGCTAAAAGCAGCAGCATGCATGGGGCTGGGACTAGTCACCGGAGAACAGGCCCTTCAGCTCCCAGGGCGTGTCCACCCTGTTTCTAGCAGGGAGCTCAAGCCGAGCTAATGTGTCTAGCTGGGGTGGGAGGCACATTTCCAGCCACACTGTGGACATACCCACTGGCTGTGTCTACACGGGCCACTTATTCCGGAAAATCAGCCGCTTTTCCAGAATAACTTGCCAGCTGTCTACACTGGCCCCTTGAATTTCCGGAAAAGCACTGACGCTTTTCCGGGAAAAAGTGCTTTTCCGGAAAAGCATCGTGCCAATGTAGACGTGCTTTTTACAGAAATACTTATAACAGAAAACTGTTCCGTTTTAAGCATTTCCGGAAAAGGATGCCAGTGTAGACGTAGCCTTAGAGACTCCACAGCCTCACTCCAGGCCAGGCCTGCTTGCCTGTCCGGGGCTCACTTCACAGGGAGCACACCCCTTTAGCTGGCGCTGCTGCTCTGCACGCCGCACAGCGGGGGAGGGCGGCCCCGGCCACAAATGTTGCAGCGGTGGAGTCGCCATCAAAAGTGGAACCTGCGAATGACAAAGACCAAACGTGGGAAGTTTGCCTGGGGTTACGCCACAGCTGGGCGGCTGCAGCCGGGGCAGGAAGGGTAAGGAGCCAATAAACCACTAGCTGTGCTCGTTTGAATGGAGCGCTGGCATTGCACAGTGGTGGGAGGAGGAGCGGTGGGCAGCAGGCGTGGTCAGGCGGGTCACTGAGGTTACAGGCTGCTGCTGGGTGTGTCATTGCTTCAGCTGTTGCACTGGGGGCAGGGAGTCCTGTTCTTGGAGTGGAAGAACAGCCTGACTCAGCAGGGTTGGGACACGCTGACAGAGCTTCCCCAGCCTGGGCCGATGGGAGGAGGGAAGCTCGTGCTCCGCGCGTGCAGTGGTGGGGTGAGCCCAGGCCCTGGCAGCTCCCTGCTGCGTTTTGGCAGAAGTGAAAGCTGGCTGGGCTCCCGCATGCTACTGTCCCTGTGCAGCGTACAGGGGGAGTCACAGGGCTGGCACTACCCATGCTGGGGCCCTAAACATACAGGCTACGTCTACACTGGCCCCTTTTCCGAAAGGGGCATGCTAATTTTCAACTTCAGAATAGGGAAATCCGCGGGGGATTTAAATATCCCCCGCGGGATTTAAATAAAGATGTCCGCCGCTTTTTTCCGGCTTGGGGAAAAGCCGGAAAAAAGCGTCTAGACTGGCCCGATCCTCCGGAATAAAGCCCTATTCCGGAGGATCTCTTATTCCTACTTCGAAGTAGGAATAAGAGATCCTCCGGAATAGGGCTTTATTCCGGAGGATCGGGCCAGTCTAGACGCTTTTTTCCGGCTTTTCCCCAAGCCGGAAAAAAGCGGCGGACATCTTTATTTAAATCCCGCGGGGGATATTTAAATCCCCCGCGGATTTCCCTATTCTGAAGTTGAAAATTAGCATGCCCCTTTCGGAAAAGGGGCCAGTGTAGACGTAGCCACACTGACCATATGTCCCGACCCGAATTTAAATCCTCTGTCCCGGTGCCCCATCAAGTAGTGAAATGTCCTGGAAAGCCCTTGCGACCAAGAAATGGCTCCATGCCATTGCTCCTTGCACAACGCAGCAGCCTCCTCCCCCTCCTTCTCTTCCCCTCCCCTCCCCCCCTCGCCCTAGCAGGGCATGTAGGCAGCTCCATTGGCGCTTTGCCAGTGGGCAGCCAGGACAGTTTCTGGGGGCATGCGGCTCCTCTTTCCCCCTGCAGGACTGCCTCTGCCACGCTGGGTCCCAAGCCAGTGGCACTGCCTCCTCCTGGACTGCCATGCCTTGGAGCCCCAGTAGGAGCTCTGTGGAGCGAGGAGCACTTGGGCTTGGCAGGTGCTGGGACTGCAGCAGAGGCTGCCTGTGGTGCTATTTTTAGTACCACGGTCCCAGTCCCTGCAGGTAGTCCCGGTTCCAGCTGGAGTCAAGCAGCAGCAGCTGCACAAGGTGCATTCCAGCCACAGCAGCCTCACTGGGATGGGCCTCGTCCAGGCCACCTGCAGGAACTGGGACTGTGGTACTAAAAATAGAACCATGGGTGCCTCTGCTCCAGTCCCAGCATGTAGTCCTGCCCTGGAAGCAGCTGTGGCTGTGGTGGCCAGACTGTGGTACTAAAAATAACACTGCCGCCCCAGCCCCCACAAACTGCTCTTCCCGTCGAAGGCAGAAGGTGAGGGAAGGGGCAGGGGGAGAAGTAAGGGGAAGGTGGGGTGAGGAGAGAAAGGAGCTTGTACTGAGGGGAGGGGGCAAGGCAGGAGAAGAAAGGGGCAGGCACCAAAGGGCAGGGTGGAGGAGACAATGAGAGGAAAGGAGGGGAGGGAAGGTGTCAGTGAGGGTGGGAGAGGGGAGGGGACAGGGTGATGCTGGAGAAGAGAGGGAAGGGACAATGGGGGCAAGAGGAAGGAAGAGGAGAGGGGAAGAGTGGGTGCCGGCAGAAGAGGGGTTGAAAGAAGGGGTGGAGCAAGTTATGTGAGGGCACAGAGGGGTATATGAGGAACTGGGGCAGAGGGTGGTGAGGGGATGGGCACCAGGAAGAAAGAGGGCAAGGAGGGCCGGGGCAGTGAGGGAAGGGGGGAAACACCAGGAAGGTGCAGGTGCCAGGGGATTGTGGGGGTGAAGTAGAAGGGCAGACACCAGAAGGCAAAGGAGAGACAGGACAGATGAGTAAAGGGAGGGGTAGCTACAGATGATCAGAGTGGGGCTAGAGGTGAGGACACGAGGGGAAGAGAAGGGCGAGTGCAGGGGTCAAGGAGGATGGGGAGGGGAAAGGTCCCCAAAGGGCTGAGGGGAATGAGAAGGAAAGGAGCCAGGACAGCAGGGTGTGGGCTGACAAATGTGGTGCAATCGTAGGGGGGGGGAAAGTGTTGTGGCAGGGGTCAAGGAGGATGGGGAGGGGAAAGATTCCCAAAAGGCTAAGGGGAGTGAGAAGCAAGCAGCAGAGGAGGGTCGGAGTGGGGGGCAGCAGGCACCAGGGGAGCAGATAGGGTGAGGGGAGGGGAGGAGACATGGCAGCAGAGGGGAAAGGGAGAGGTTTATAAGATATTTATGAATAACTTGGGTGCTACAGTGGCACACATCTGAACAAGCGTACATGACCTCAATACTGATGCACAAGACAAAATTCACTCCACACATGGGAGGAAAATCTTAGAGGGAACACTTCCCCCAGCCTCTCCCCCCGAGTTAATGCAATACAAATTGGGTTAATGCAATTGCAGGATAGTTGCATGGGAGATCTTGTGAAGGCCACGCCCATCCCTATTGGTAGGAGGACAGTGGGAGGAGTTCTTAGAGGAGTCACAATACCCTTTACTTCTGGTCATGTGTCCACCTTGGGGGCCAACAGGAGCTGTTCTCAGAGGGGTCACAGGACACCCTTCACTTCTGGTCAGGTGTCCCTCTTGACCCCAGGAGTACGACCCCCAGGGGTGGGGCTTCTTGTGGCAGGGGGCGTGGCTAATGGGTGCTAATTTTGGTTCAGAAAATATGGTCTCCATCCCTATGCTGTAGGGTGGGGTGACCCTACTTTCCCGCCAGCACCGGTGCCCCCCCCGGAGAGGAGGGGGGGCTCAAGCTATGGGGGGAAAGGGGCTGCCAACTCTCCCGGACTGGACAGACCAGACATCGATAGCTGCGGCGCTGCCCGTTCTGGGAGAGGTGGCAACCTGGAGCAGGGCTGGGAGGGGGGCAGGGGGCTGCGAGCGGT